TGCCCAAACAACACAAGGCACAACCATCATCTCGACCACCAGCAAGACCCACACCACCAGGACCTCTACGCCTCCAACAGAAGGCACAACCACCACAACCACACCCACACCAACAGTGTCCTACTCAGCCACTAGCACTGCCAGCACTTCCAGGACCACTGCAGGAAGCACCACTACCACCACAGCCACAGCTCCTCCAAAACACACCACCAGTGTGGCAACACAGGAACCAACATCGCCCACTACTGCCTCCACTTTCCCACCATCAATAACAACAACCGCTGGCACCACCCGCTTAACACAAAGCACCACCCGGACAACACAAGGCACAAACATCATCACGAACACCAGCAGGGGCAGCACCACCAGGACCTCTCCCCCTCCATCAGATGGCACAATCACCACAACCACTCCCACGCCAACAGTGTCCCACTCACACACTAGCACTGCCAGCACCTCCACGACAACTGCAAGAATTACCCCAATGACCACAGAAACATCGGTTCCAACAAATAGCCCCACTGTGTCAACACAGCCTTCAACATTACCCACTACTGCCTCCACCACCCCACCATCAACAATGACAGCCACTGCTGGCACCACAGTTGTCCCCACTACCAATGCCCTAACAACACAAGGCACAACCATCATCACGACCACCAGCAAGACCCACACCACCAGGACCTCTACGCCTCCATCAGAAGGAACAACCACCACAACCACACCCACACCAACAGTGTCCTACTCAGCCACTAGCACTGGCAGCACTTCCAGGACCACTGCAGGAAGCACCACTACCACCACAGCCACATCTGCTCCAAAACACACCACCAGTGTGGCAACACAGGAACCAACATCACCCACTACTGCCTCCACCATCCCAATATCAGCAACGACAACCACCACTGGGACCACCCAGCCAACACAAGGCACAACCATCATCACGACCACCAGCAGGGCCAGCACCACAAAGACCTCACCTTCTCCAACAGAAGGCATAACCACACCCACACCAACAGTGCCCACCTCACCCACTAGCACTGCCAGCAATCCCAGGACCACTGCAGGAAGCACCACAAAGACCACGGAAACACCTGCTCCAACACACACCCGCAGTGTGGCAACACAGGAACCAACAGCACCCACCACTGCCTCCACCTTGCCACCATCATTAACGACAACCACCACTGGCACTACCCGGACCACTGCAGGAAGCACCACAAAGACCACGGAAACACCTGCTCCAACACACACCCGCAGTGTGGCAACACAGGAACCAACAGCACCCACCACTGCCTCCACCTTGCCACCATCATTAACGACAACCACCACTGGCACTACCCGGTTAAGACCAGGCACCACCCAGCCAACAAAAGGCACTACCATCCTCACGATCACCAGCAAGATCGGCACCAAAAGGAGCACTGCCCCTCCATCAGAAGGCACAACCACCACAACCACACCCACACCAACAGTGTCCCACTCACCCACTAGCACTGCTAGCAGCTCCAGGACCATCGCAGGAAGCACCACAACCACCACAGCCACATCTCCTCCAAAACATACCCCCACTGTGGTAACACAGGAACCAACATCACCCATTACTGCCTCCACCTTCCCACTATCAGCAACAACAACCACCGCTAGCACCACCCGGTTAACACAAGGCACCAACCGGACAACACAAGGCACACCCATCATCACAACCACCAGTAAGGCCGGCACCACCAGGACCTCTCCCCCTCCATCAGAAGGCACAACCACCACAACCACACCAACACCAACAGTACCCAGCTCAACCTCTAGTACTGCCAACACCTCCAGGACCACCGCAGGAAGCACTACAACCACCACAACCACATCTCTTCCAACACACAAGTCCACGTTGTTAACACAGAAACCAACATCACCTACTACTGCCTCCACCATCCCACCATCAAGGACAACCACTGCTGGCTCCACCCGGCCAACACAAGGCACAACCATCATCACGACAACCAGCACGACCGGCACCACCCGGACCTTTCCCCCTGTGACAGCAGGAACAACCACCATCACCATACTCACGCCAACAGTGCCCACCTCACCCACTAGCACGGCCAGCAACTCCAGGACCACTACTGGAAGCTCCACAACCACCACAGCCATGTCTGCTCCAACACACACCTCCACTGTGGCAACACAGCCTTCAACATCACCCACTACTGCCTCCACCATCTCACCATCAACAA